AGCAACTTAGGGATTCAGCAAGATTCTATCTCAAAAAATAAAAAGGGCTGGATGTAGCTCATGGTGAAGACCTTGGATTCAATCCCCAGTACCAACAGCATGGACAAAGTGTCCAACAAAGGGCAAATAAAAAGATACATTAAAAATACTTGAAAATTAGACACTAGATAGATTTCTTCTAATACAAGAGGAAATCAAAATATATGAAAGACACATTGCCATTCGTCCTGCTCAAAATACTCCTCCTCACTTTGAACGCACTTATCCCATCACTCTTGCCACTTCCTGAGGCAGCTCTGTAAATCCTCTTTCATAGATGTCTTTGCAAAGTGTGATTAAAAGTACAGTGAGTGCAGCTGTTGAGTTCTATCCAATGGAAAGGCAGGTTCATAAAGACCGTGGTGTATCCTCAGCCACTTTATTCCTTGTATCTGGCACTGTGCAGCTTTTGGCTCTTCCCCAAAGTCAAAATGACCATGAAAGGTCAATGTTTTGAATTTAGGACATCAGGACAGCCATCACAGTACAACTGAACACACGCATGAAAAAGGACTTCCAGAACTGCTTCAGAAAGGGGCAAGAAGCCTGGCATAAGTGTGTTTGAAGTGAGGGGGAGTACTTTGAAGGGGGTTATTGGCAATGTGCCTTCCAGTGTAATAAATTTTTTAAAATTTAAACACACAGTATTCTTTTTAGCACAACTTGTATTTACTTAAGAAATTCAGTAAAACTAACCAAGAGAGACAGTAGAATAGAGATCTTATTTTTTCTTTTATATAGAATTCTTTAAAGAGACTAACTTTGTCCCTACAGAAATGGTTTAAATAGGACCTGAGTGAAAGAGAACCTTTCTTCTCAAGGCCCTTTTGCCACCTGTATCAACTTTCTACCCTTCTTAGAGCAAACATACCCACAGGTGTCTCCTCCATGCCTTGCTTCTATCTGAGCTTCCGATGCAACGCCACACACACACAGCCATAGCCATGGACCTACCACTGTGGCCAGCATTTGCTTCATTATGATAAAATGCTCACCTTTCCAAAACCCTTGAAATGCTATCAGGGTGGTGCAGACAGAGAGAAGAGGAGCAACTGTTGTGAACTGACTCTATCCCGCATAGCATTAAGGAAGTTTGTAAGGCATTTTCAAAGCAGGGCCCATTCAATTTGCTCAAACAGTTTAAGAAGGCAGATGTGGTAGGAGCATGCTAATTTTTTTTACTGTGTTATTTTTTTATTAACAATCCTATTATAATTATTAGAAGTCTGTAATTGGAACATATAATGTATCCATCCACAGCATGTGGATTATGAATTACTGTATTAGAACTTACGTGGCTTCTTTAAATCACCTCAGATCAGAGTAATGCGACTCAGTTACATTTTTCTTACTACATCAATATATTAACAGTAGTACTTATAATAAACACTGGGAACCATATTCCCTATAATAGAAAGACAACTCAGCGGTAAAACAGGTTCAGGAATCAGGACGACATAGTTTTAGTCATCTCCCCTCCCTATCAGGGCTCCCCCCTTTCACTCTGGATGGGCACTCACACTGACCAGTAGCATGCAAACGGTCAAGCCTGAAACTTTAGGGTCCCACCCTCATCTCCTGTATGTTCTGTGACTGTTGTTTCTCTTTATGTTTTATTTACTTAGTACATATTTATATTATTTCTTTTTAAAGATTAATGTATGAACCAGGCGTGGTGGCGCATGCCTGTAATCCCAGCACTCAGGAGGCTGAGGTAGGAGGATTATTGCAAGTTCGAGACCAGCCTGGGCTACAAAGTGAGCTCAAGGCCAGTCTGAACTACATAGCGAGACCCTGTCGCAAAAAGACCAAAAAAAAAAAAAAAAAAAATTAATGTATGAAAAAGTAACCTAGTAGCCAAAAGAATGAATGCCTGTTCTCTTTATGTTTTTTGTTTGCTTGTTTTTGTGGCTCTGAAAATCTTTCCCATATAAGGTACCACTGAGCTCCATCCCCAGCCCTCTCCAAATGGCTCTGAAGTGTTATGCTAGCACCACTGAATTTGAGAGCTGACATGATACCAACAGATCATCTCCTCAGAGAATCTTAAAAAGGACCTTGGTGGTTCTTTGACCTGGAGCAATTGCTCTCCCTCCTGGCCGAATATTAGAACTAACTGAGGCACTTTTAAAAAATTCCTGTCTAGCTGTGGCTTTGTGGCTACGGTAGAACCATCTGATGAACTCTGATGTTTCTTTGCTGATTTTTTGTCTGGTTCACCTATCTATTTGTGACAGTGGGGTACTGATGTCTCCCACTGTGACTGGGTTGGTGTCTGTCCTTTTATGCCAAGTAGTGTCTGTTTTATGAAAATGGGTATGTGTACAACATTCTTCACAGAGCTACTACAACCACTAAGAAATCCATCTAGAGATACTCGCTCCTGGGCATATTCCTGAATGTATTAAAGTCAGCATGCTGTAGTGATACGTGCTTATCCATGTTTACAGCAGTGTAATTCATAAGAGCCTAGCTGTGGAAACACCCTAGATTCCCATCAAAGGATGAATGGGTAGGAAATGTTGTACATTTACATGATGGAATAAATAACTCAGCCATAAGAAGAATGCAATCCTGTCATTTGCAGGAAAGTTGATGAAATTAGAGACCATCATGTTAAGTGAAACAAGCCAGACTCAGGAAGTTAAATTCCACATGTTTTCTCTTATACGAAAAACCAAACAAATAAATAAAATAATGAGATGACAGGAAACCAGAAAGTAGACTACAAGGGTCTATGGCCATACCACCCTGAACGTGTCCAGTCTCATCAGAAAGTAGACTACTGGAGAGGTGGAAGGGGATTAGAGGCAGAGGGTGGGAAGGGAGAGAGGGATATGAGATAGAAAAAGACTAAGATATGTTGAAATCAGGTACCATTTTACCAAAACGAACCTCGCCATTCTGTATGCACTAATTTAAAAAAAAAAAATCTCTGTTCAAATTCATCCTTGATTCAGACTCCTTGGGGTTGGGATTCTGGTATCAGTATTTTTCTCCCTCCCTTGCTCCCTCCTTCTCTCTCCCTCTCTCCCTCTCTCCCTCTCTCCCTCTCTCTTTCTCTCTTTCTCTCTTTCTTTCTTTCTTTCTCTGGAGATTGAACCCAGGGCCTTGACACTGAGCTACAGCTAAGTTGCCCAGGCTGGGCTCAAATTTGAGATCCTCCTGCCTCAGCTTCTCAGGATGCTAGGTATGTGCCACCACACATGGAGATCAGGATTTTTTAAGCCTTTGCCCAACCAGGTTGGAATGCTCTGGTAGAGTTATGGCCTAGGGATTCTTAATGTCATAGAGGTCCCATGGCTTCCTCAAAGGACCTGTGATCTCTTGGAACTCATAAACTTCTGTAGATGTTTGCCATGTCTGACCCAAACTCCCAGCCAGTGCTCAGATCTCCATAACACCCCACCACCCAGTCCTTCTGCTTTGGTTTAGTGACAGAATGGAAACACCGCTCCTCTCACCTTAGAATAGTTCTACATCAAACTCCTTGAGGGAAGGGAGGGCAAGCCCCGCCTTGATTAAAAGCCATAGACCACAAGTTGGACGGGCGCATTCCAGTCTTCATGTGCAATAGTTTATCTTGTAGAGGGAAAAACAGAGGCTTGAATTGAAGAGAATTGAAGTCTCTTGCCCAAACTAACTTAATGATAAGTTAGAAAATGAAGGCTCCCTGCTTCCTTCCTGTCCTTCAGGACACGTCAATGCGTCACCCACGGGGATGCTCTGAGGTGCACCCTTGGAGTGAACCGCCCCTGGCCCTGTCTAGCACCGCTCCCTAGGTGGCCATCCATCCTGGGTAGGGTGGAGGACATGCAGCCTGTGTCCTCCGTTCTGGGCACCTCATCTGTCTCCACATGTACGGAGGGGAAGGCACTGGGTCATGAGCTTGGATGGTCATGCTGGTGTGGCACAAGGTCCCAAAGAGACATGTTACCCCTTCCTCCAGAAGTACAGGTGCAGGCACCAAGAGGAGGGGACACTGAGTGGGGTCTGCCTCTGGTCCCTGGGAAGGTGGTGCAGATGATAGAACAGTGGTCTGAATGTCGAGGCTCTCCACAGTGGATCTGTGAATATGCAGTGGGATTTAAGTGGTCTTCCAGAAGCACTGACTTGCTTAGGCTGGAATAAGCTCTTTAATCATCTGGAGTTATTAGATTTAATACTACAATATCTTCTGTTTACTACTGAGCAGCCCAGAACAAGTGTTCAACCTCTCTGAGCCTGGCTGCCTCCTCTGTGAACCGGAGTGTGTAATTCCCAGCTTTGAACTGTTGTACGGAGTAAATTATGTAACATAAAATAGCCAGTGGAGTGCCTGGGACATAGGCTATGCCCAGTCATTGACGGCTGTTGTTACTATTAATAATGACCAGAATGCATTTAGGGTGACAAACTGTTCTACATCTTAAATCACCACACAACACATTTTTGATGACAGTGGTGACATCATAGCCAATTTTGAAATTTCAATTCCCACCTGCAGAGCTTGACATATGGCTCTGCTCATGGTAGGTACCAGGATTTGAGTTTGATTTGTCCCCTCTGAAGCTAGGGTTCAAATTTAATCCCCATTATGGGAGATAGAAGGTGGGGCTGGGTGGGACCCTTCAGAAGTGGTTAGGGCTCTGCTCTTCTGAATGGATCAAGCTGTTCACATGAGTGGCAGATGAAGGGGTTCACGGGGCATCTCGAGAGTTAGGTGCGCTGTGACAGCCAGCTTGGTGAGGTCTCCTGTGGACTCCCTGTCTCTTACCACCTCATGCCCTGCTCTACTGCAGGACTCTGCTAGGCCCTCAGCCTATCTGGCTCCTTGACTGTGGACCAGAACTGTGAGCCCAAATAAACCTTTTTTCTTTATAACTTACCCCGTCTGTGGTAGTGTGTTATAACAGAAACAGTCTAAGATAGTAGGCATCAGGAAGAACCCACACTGAAATGAACGGAATGGCCATCCTTACCTGATCATTCTGTTCCATCAGGGGTATTTCAGATCCGGGTTCTCCCTCGAGGCTGACAGACTCAATGCACTCGGCAAGTGCATCCTCAGTCGCTTCTTTGTGCAGAGGGGGCTCCAGGGCAGTGGTGTCTGTGCACGGTGCTGGGTGCCCCTGGGCAGCAGTCTCCGCACCCTGACCAGCTGCATTCTCATGCAAATCACCTCCTCCGGGATCAGCTGGCACTGGCTCACTTGAACAGGTAGCCGAATCGCACTGTCCTGCTGCGTCTTCAGGTAAAGAATCACTAGCAGGTGTCTTGGGCATCTCAGTCATTTCTGCTCTGTCTCCAGTGGCTAAGGTGTCGCCAGCATCGTCACACATTTTAATATCTGTCAACACGATTACAAATACTTTATGCTTTAATGTGAACCGTTAAACTTTCATTGAAAGCTCTGAACAATTCAATTAGGTCTGGTGGTGGTAAACTTTCTCTTAACTAATAAGTAACTTTACATAATCTTATTGTAGCCTGAATAACGGCCCCCAAAGGTATTCATCTAATCCCCGGAACCTGTGAATGCTCCTTCCACGGCACAAAGGACTTTGCAGATGCCACTAAAGTTCTTGAGACAGGAAACTATCTTGATTCACCTGAGCGTCCCCAACAGACAACCAGAGGGAGCTGCGAGTACAAGGAGGAGGTGATGTGAGGACAGGAGCAGAGTGCTGCCCTCTGTGGACACAGCCTAGGAACACAGGAAGCGCTAGAGGCTGCAGGAGGCAGGAAAGCCGTTCTTTCTCTGAGACTCTAGATGAAAGCAGCCCTGCGGCACCTTGACTGTAGCCCAAGGAAACTAATTTTGGACCCCTGACCTCCAGAACCGCAAGATAACAAATCTGTACAGATATAGGCTGTTCAACTTATTGTAACTTAATATAACAATAGGAAACAAATATACACCAATGGGCCTGTCTTTAAATTTTCAAGGATATCTCACTTGGCATGAGGGACATGTATGTGGGAAGTAATAATATTACCTGTGTCTATAAAATTATTTAATCAGATTTTATTACCTAGAAGTTAATGAAAGCCTAGAGAATACTTGAAAGGATATTAAAAAAAGATGTGTCTTTAGCTTTGCAATGTCGCTAGGGATATGCAGCAAGGACACACATATGTGTAAGTGAGCTTTGCTAGGGACCAGCTGGTGAAGGTCTGGGCTCTGGCTGGACAATAGTTTAGTCAGGAAACACAAGGGTGAGAGGGAGATAAATGACAGATGAAGCCAAATGAGAATGCAGCCAATATGCAGTAGCCTACCAAGCAGAAAACTCCTTCAGGTGCCTACAAGTTACTGACATCATGTAGAATGGTGCTGTCAATACAACTTCTGCAGTGATGAAAATGTTCTGTACCTGCACTGTCCAATAAGTGGATCCTGAGCACCCGGACTGTGGCTAGTGCAAGAGAGATCTAAACACTTCATTGTGTTCAATTTTAAATGATTTAAATTCATATAGGCACACGGGCTCGTGGCTGCCTTAATGGATAGCATAAATGGAGAAGACTGGCTCAGGAGGATGTGTGATCTAAAAGGAAGGCACAGAGTTCCCACTACACAACAAGGCAAATCTCAGGCGCATCCGTGGGCATCTTTGTTGACTTCAGTCTTTACCAACTGGTCAAATCTCACATTGTTGCTGGAACTATGGCATGTGAGAAGCCAGTTAACACACTGGCTGCATGGAGGGACAGGCTTCCTCACATGGCTTGCGTTAACCCACTTGACCCCAGCAAGCCATTCCACAAGGCTGTCTGGTCTTTTCTGATGCTTGATCTTCTTTGGTGGGTCACATTCCTTTCTGACAGTTTTCACACACTTCTGTGCTGCAGCTTTCAGATATCTACTCCATTCCACCAATAGGAACAGCAGTGGCTTTTAGATCAAGGAAGTAACTGCTAATGGGTATAAGAAATGAGGAGTAACTGCTAATGGGTATAAGGTTCCTCTTGGAGGTGATGAAAATGTTCTACAATTAGATGGTGGTAATAGATGTACCTTTCTGAAATATAAGAAAAACTATTAAACTTCGTTTTTTTAAAAAATGAATTTTGTAGGACAAGAACTATATTTAAATAGTAGTTATCTTTTTTAAAAAAATTCTACTTCTAAATAAGTAGTTCTAAAGGCCAGCTGGACATCTCTTTCTGTCCTGAAGGGAAGCTGACTTACTCTTAAAACCAGACCTTGTCTTTTGTGTTTCTCTAAACCACACCTAGATTTCTCCTAATAATCCAGGCTTAAAACTTCAGAACGGTACCTGACTAACCTTTCACCTTTCCAAGAATATATAATATCAATAGCTATCAATTACGGAGCACCTACTGTATCCAGGCCATTCAAATGTATTATCTCTTGTGAGTTAGACGTGATGAGCTCCATTTTACATAGAAAGGAACTGGGGCTCGGAGGTCACACTTTTAGTAAATGGCAGATCTGAAACTTGAGCCCACGTCTGAGACTGAATCACATCAGAATCCTATGTGCAGTGCTGCCTGCCTCTTCCTTTCCATTCAACCAGTGGCCAAATCCCGGATAGAGGCTCACTGTTCAGAGTCCGTGCCCTTTCTATTTTCACTGCCAGGTCCCCACTGTGACTCATGCTGTTTCAGGACTGAGTTTGCCACTCCACTGCTACTCACTTCTCTACTTCCATCTCCTGGCTCTAATCCTCAGGGATTCCCCCTTCTTGTCCCCGCTGAGATGAGGCCTTGCCTTCAGCTGGCAGCACTTGCCTGACCTCCCACCAGTCCCTTCCAAAACTTCATTGAGACAGTATGAGTCTCTGTTCACAGTCACCACCGCAGACCCTCAGGAGGATTTGGTTCACTTTGGTTTTTTTTCTTTTTAAATCCATTGTAGGCTCAGGTAAAACTACTACCTCCTTAACTCTTTGCTCCTTTAACTGAACTACTTCTTCTGAACCCTCTGAGTCATCTGTGGCTACTTTACTCTGCAACATCATAATTCTCTTTGATTGCGGTGCTTGAACTTTCCCCATCACACTGTAGTTCTGTGAAGACAAGGGTCTTCCTTGTTTTGCTTTCTCATTTTACACAGCACTTAACATAGCTTTTTGCACATAATCAATAAATATGTTGGCTGAGTTGTATAATATTAGAGTGGTGATGCTCAGGTGTTCATTGTAGCAGGTGGTTCTAAGTGACTATAATTTCACATTGTCTTTCTTTTATTCCTTTACCTCTCAGTTAACTGAATGTGTTAGCTTTCTATCTCTGTAACAAACTCCTCAGATAATCACCTTATAAAGAGAAAAGGTTTATTTTGGCTCAAAGTTCAGCAGTTTCAGCCCATGACTGGTTAGCCTTGTTGCTCTGGGGTCTGTGGGGAGGCAGCTCATTATGGCAGGAGCATGTGGCATCTCATGGCCAGGAAGTAAAAATGATGAAGAGCCTCGGGTCCCACCATTCCCCTTAAGGGCATCCACGCGAAGACTGGAAGATCTCCCACTAAGGCCCACCTCTTACAGTTTCCATCGCCTCTCAAGAGCCCCAACCTGGGAGCCAAGCCTCTAACACATGGGTCCGGGAGACAGTCTAGATCCAAAGCATAACCCTGAGTTAGAAAGTCTAACTCAATTCCTGCCAGAGCTGTATTCAGTGATGATGCTCCTGCAAACAAATCTCAGGATGGGAAAGGCAGCGCCTGCTTACCGCCCTCTGGCTGGTATACTAAGTACTGAACCTTTAAGGTTGGCCACAGACTGTCCAGGAGTCTGCCTAGCTGAAATAGTAAAGAACAGTACAAGGCCACTGTGCTGCAAACAGGTTATTATTGTGGATTATGGGTGGGGACGGAGTGGAGAGGGGAGTGGAATAGATCTGATCGGGGCAGCTTGGAAACCTACTGTCACTGGGAAGCTGATGAAATCTTTGTGAAAACCTCTTTTGGAATCAGGACTGGCCTAGGGCACTGGGTAGGCAAATTACAACCTGCTGGTCAGATGTCACCCTCTGCCTGTATTGGTTAATAAAATTTTACCGGACAGACATATCCTTTTGCTTACAGCTTCTCTGGCATGACAAAAGGCTAACATATTTACTATCTGGCCTGTCACAGGAAATGTTTGCTGGCCTCTGGCCTAGGACACTATTTGATGGCCACATTCTAAAGATTTCTCTGTCTTAATCTATCCTGTTCCCAGCTGGGTCCTTAGGTCCAAGCCTTAAGAAAAATAAATGATACTTCAACTTTACTTTTAATCCCATGTTTCGTATGTAGCTGGTCACAGACATAATCTGATATTTTTGTTTGTAAGGTGATTTGAACATTCTTATTATTAATCTGGGTTGTTAAAAAACTCCAATCTACTTCACTTTTCTATAAGCAGCAATATAAGAATAAATCTGGCTACGATAAACATTCATGGGCAAACAAAAGCCATCATGGACACTTTGTCCTAAATGCCTTGTTATACTGTCCATAATAGATTCTAAAGCATTTTAGCACCTACCATGTGACATACATGCATTTTAATTAGTTTAACTTTACACCCTGAGGGTGGTTGGTTTACAACTGAAGTGTTAGGGATTCAGGAATATGATCTCCAGGATTCTTCAGCAAGCATTTTAAAATCCATAATTGGGCAGTCACTTTTCCAGAGGGTTCAACCTGACTGGAATTCCAGGGTATGCTAATCAGCATCAGGCATATGAGAAATCATTTCCTGCTCCTGGAACGGAAAGTCTTTTATGATATGTGCACTGGTGAGAGTAATGTCCTGGTACCTTCTGGCTTCCCATGACCACAGCATAAGATTTCACTGGGCCCAGCAGCCTGGTGCCTTTCGGAGTAGGTTTTCTAGTGCTGCTAGCTGACTGCAGAATGCCGAGGCTGGAAGCCGAGAGGTTTGGGCATGTCCTGCTTCTAGAACAGACGCCTGAAAGGATAGTGAGCTAGGACTTGGAGCAACAAGAGCAGGCTGAGTAACTAAGTTGGGGGCTAGTACACAGGAGAATATGCAGACAGACTCCATCAGAGAATTTAGACTCTCTTCACAAACCTCTCATGGTAGGGAGAAGGAGGCAGAGGAGGAACCCTACAGCTCTCACCTACCTCTGATGGCCTGATCACCTTAGGTCATTTCCCTGAAGGGCAGAAAAACCGCTGCAATAAAACTCTTCTGTATGGCTGTTCTGCATGCAATCAGCAACACAAAACCTTGGGAAATAGCAAAAAAATAAAAATAAAAGATAAAAAGTATTTTAAAAATCAGCCCTAAGGTGCTAAACTGATAGTGCTAAAAATATTTACTGATTACGCATACTGTAGAAAGACCAGACACACCCATTTAAATAATAAAAGTGGTCACCTACTTTAACTTCTGCTTGTGGGTACTTCTAATCTGTATTTACTTGTGTCTATTACAACTCCTTAAATTTCCCTAAACCAATTTGTCTTGGTAGATCTCTATTAATCCTGCATTCTGTTGTGATGTGGAAAATGTAATCATTTTTAAGATTGTGTCTTTTTGTCTGCAGCCACTAGGAACTGCTGTAAGCGCACACTGTTTCTGAGAAGGGACTGTTGGAGCTCACCATGACGTCGGTAGTGGTACGATTGATGTTTTCTGGGGTGACCCCCAGCCCTGTCTGGGTGCACCATAAGCACAGTCACAAGTCCTTCCTGATTTCTGGCTTTGGACACTGATCACAGCAGCCGTGACCATGGCTTTGAAGCTAGAAAGACTCAACCCCTAGAAACAAGGAGGCTGCTTCAGAAAACTCCAAGGAAAGGAAGGATGACATATAAAGAACTCTTTGTGGGCTGGGAATAAGTTAGTTTTTCATAGGCAAATTCATTCATCACCTAAAATGCTCTGAGAACCATGCAAGGTGTTAGAGCAGCAGCACCAGAGCTTCCTAAATAAGTGTAAAGCAGAAGAGGAAGGCACTGTCTTTCTGAAATGAACAATCTGTTTGAGGAACTAGCACAAAACTGCGAAAAAGCCAGTGCAAAACAGCACATCAAATAAAAGAAAAACGTGCTGGGATTAGACTGATTGGATGCAAGGCAGAGTCTAAGAGTGGCTTTGGTATGGTTATTAGGGCATGGTGGGTAAGATGGGGCGCAAATGGTAGGCACATTTGCATGGGAATGGTGGGAATGAACTCCAGACATTCAAGATGGACATCTGACGGGACAAGAGAATGGCGGAGGAAGAGTGGGAGGTGAGAAGAGGAAGAGGTCTGAGGTGGGTCCTGGGGTGGAAAAGAGCTGTGCCTTGCAGCTGTGGCCTCGGATGGCAAAGTTCCTCTGCAAGTAAGATGGGCAACACTTCCTCACTTCACTCTTGCAAGTAAGATGGGCAACAAGAGCTGGGTACTTTGTTCTTTCCAAACCCTGACTACAGCCCTGGGGCCAGACCCTGATGATGGAGAAGAATGAGGACAAGATTTTGAGTTTTTCATAAATCTAAATTTATTAAACATAAAGCTGCCTTTATCTTGCAAATTTAGATTTCGTGCTTTACTTGGTATAAAAGTGCCTCTCATTTTATTAGAAAGTAGTGACAGTGGATGGATTTATTTTTTCATGGCCTCACTTGGCAAAATCTAAATGTGGTAACATGAAAGTCTGTATGAGATCACCTCCCCCAGTCAAAAAGTGGTGGTCAGCAAAGGACCAGGGACACAACCCCTGGCTGAGAGGCTCCCAGCTCCCAGGCGGAGTGTCAAGTACAGGCGCAGGGTCCCAGGGGCGCGTCCATGTGTCCACTTGGCAATTTTCCGAAAAAAAGATGAGAGCTATTTGTTCCTGTGTTTAAAAACTTAGGTTGCTGAGTTATTTAGGCTGCACTGGAACTTTCAATCCTCCTGCCTCATCCTCCCAGATGACTGAGATTACAGATTTAGCAAGACCTTGTCAGTAAAAAATTTAAAAAGAACTGGGGATGTTGCTCAGTGTGAAGCCCTGGGTTCAGTCCCCAGTGCAGGAGGAAAAAAGATCCTGTGAGTGCAAGAATTTTGGCAGAGCAGCTGTGGCCCCTCATAATTCAGCTGCAATCTCGGTCTCCCGCAACTCACCCACCACACTCAGAATTTCCACACAGCCACATAAACCTCCACACGCTCCAGCCTGGGTGCTCTGCCACCATCATCTGCCTGGCAAGGTCCTATTCCCTTAAATACCCAAAGGCTCATGTCACCCTTCACTTTGAAATCTTCCTTTATCTGCCCCACTCCTTCCAAAGACTCAATCGCTCCTGCTTCTAAATTCTTGTGAGACCTTGCACAGACTTCTGCTGCTGCCCTCCTGTCTTTAGAAATGTTTGTTTCTGTCATTCCTTCTTCCAGGACTGTGACCAATAGCACCTGGCTTCATTTATGATCCACAAATATTTACTGGACTGAAATAGATTGTGTTTGATATTGATTGAAAAGAAATGGTGTTTGATACAAGCCTGGTCTTATAAGTAAATTGCTAATTATATGGTCTGAATCCTGGAGATTCAGGGAGGTCCCCTCCCACCTTCAAATTCCTTCTGCACTGGCTCACTTGTGTCTAAAATTCCACACTAAACTTTCATTCCTCTGCTTAAAGCCTACAGTGTAGGACGTTAATCAGATCCTTGCCCAATCTCAGGTTTGATGGAAGGTAGGGTGGAGCAGGAAAGGAGCTCGAGGAGGAAGAGTGGACAGACCCGGCCCTCCGAGGATAAAGCCTGGTACCTGGGATTCCCGGAAGGCTGTCTGAGGTGAGGTCTTAAGGAGTTTGAACGCCACTGATTAAAGAGGCCACTTGCTCCTATCCTTCAAGCTGTTCAGGATGGGAACTGATAGGGTCAGCAGGACATAATGTTCTCACAGAGCATAAAGAGCCTCCTACTCTAGGACAGGCGGAGCAGTTCAGGCGCCTGGAGAGGGTAGGCTGGAAATACTCACCAGATTCCAGGGAGAGGCTAGGCGACAGGATGGAGGGGCTATGGGCTGGGGTGGGGGTTGCCCAGACCGAGGGCGGGGAGCGCAGTGCTGGCTTGTGGGGCAGAGGACCGGGCGAGGGTACGGGGGCGGGGGTTCTGTGGGGGAGGGCTCAGGGCCTGAGCTCTGCTTCGAGGCCACGCGTGGGCGGGGGACGGATGGAGGCTCCCTACGCGCCCGGGCGCGGGGACTTGGACCTGGGACTCCGGGTAACTTCTCAGACTCGCTGAGCCAGGGCTGGATAGTGCGGGAGGCTCCCGCGGGCCGAGGGGGCAGACCCGGCGTGCGGGCGTGTGGGTGTGTGCATGAGCGTGGACC